CGGAACTTCAAGCACATTGTGCCCCCTCTCGGCTCACCAGAGACTGGCCTGCCTGTTTCTTCTGGCTTTGGTGTGCCCATGGGCTTCCTACTTCCTCAGCCATTTTCCTCAGGAGTTAGTCCTGGCTCCACCTTTCCTTTCCTGAGAAATGTATGTGGCACTTTCGCTCAAGTAAAAAGCAGTGGGGTTTGTGTTGGGAAGTGCTGATTTGCTGGACAGTGGGTGTTGTTGCTCATTGCTGGGCAGTCACCTCTGCGGCGTGGTGGCTCATGTGCAGGGTACAGCTGCTCCATCAAGATTTGAAGACCAGGTCTGTCCTCTGGGTGGGTTAAAACCACAACTGTTTTAAAGGGAGAGTGGTACAGTACACAGCCATTTGCACAAAAGAGTGGTCAACCTCTCTGCACTTTGTTTTACCAAATTCAAGTCTAGGGTTGGTTTTGTTTTTTTAATTTTCTCAACCTGGTCAATAATTACTCAAAATGTGTCACTTGTAAGGATTTCAAAGAGCCAAAAAATAAACCCTATGTAAGTTCTTCTTTGCGAAGAGATGGAGGTTCTTTCTGAATAATATACATAAGGTAAAGTAGTACAGAACATGTCATCCAAATGCTAGATTTTAGAAGAAATCTTTCTTTTTGACAGTTCAGTAGTAGTATTTTGAAGTAGATCCTACATAGTAGCAATATCTAGTGAAATCTTGATTCATATGTACTTTTTCAATGTAAATTTTTCATAATATATACAGGTAGCTTAATCATAAAATTGTATGCTTTAGACAAAGTGTCACAAAGTCCATACCTAAAGAGCTTTTCTCGAATAAATATTAGTTCTTTTTTTGGTAGTCTGGTCCATTTTAATTACCTTTCTTTCCATAAACTTCTTTTTTTCAGTGTCTGCCTTAGGTCTTTTGATTTAATTTGGGGGAAGAATGGATGAATAGATAGAAACACAGAAGCAACACTATTGGCCTGCTTTCTTGCTGTCAGAAAGAGATCACAAAATAAGGCAAGGAAGAAGGCAAGAATGAACAGCGGCCCTTGAATCAAGTGTGAATTCAGGCTCTTTAAAGTATATTTACTAACATGTAGAAATGTGAACATGTTTATGTGCTAGCATGAATTAGTGTGAACGCCTACAACAGAGCTTCACAGAGTTCATGGGGAAGTTCCATAGTCTTTTAATTTTATTTTTCCATAAACTTTTGAAACGCGCTTACATACTTCTTAGCCCTGTCTGCAGAGAGGCCTAGAAACAGTGACACTTGTAGCAGTGAGCACACCAACCACCTGGACTTTGGCTTCTAGATACCCTTCTTCCATTAAAAACAAAAGCTAAAACCAAGACTCCTTGGAGAAATGGCTGATGGCAGAGAAGGGGAAATATATAAGGCAAACCCAACAGAAAGTAAGGAAATTCTCCCCCAAAATCAGGGGTGCATCAAAGGACACAGAATTCAACTTGAAGGGATTCCTAGTGACCAAACCTGGTTCAGTTTAAGCAACAAAGTAAAAATAGATCCTTATGCTGTGGTCCGTTATCATGAAGTTGTCTGAACTCCTGGTGACTCCATAATACTGGATTATAACCCATAAAAATAAACACACATGAACGTAACCTAATATAAATAAGTAATTGCATAAATAAGTGCAATGGAAGGAACAGCTCAGTTTTATAGCTAAATATCAATTAATTCGAAGAGGAGATCACCTCTGTGCACAGAGCACAGTAGTAACTGTGGGAGGCATGAGCCATTAACATGATAACATTGATGGTTGAAACTGGTGAGAAAAAGGATGTTTGCATAATCTCTGTTTATCTCTCCACAGCATAGGTATTTTTATTTTGCAAAGGGAAACTAACTTTAGGATGGAGAAATCTGACAGATACCATTTTAGCCGTGTAATCCAAGTTAATATCACGGACTCTGAGTTGCCCTTCTCAGGAAATCACTTCTGTGGTATTCTTGCTCAAAAGGCATAACCTCATTCCAATTACGAATAAACATCAGATAAACTCAGAATGAGCCATTCTACCAAGTAAATGGCCTGGATCACTTAAAAGTGTCAAGATGATAAAAGACAGAAAGCTGAAGGATCTATCACAGATTTAAGGAGACTGACCCATGAAAATTCAGTGGGGCATCCTGATTTGAATGCTGGGCGAGGAAAAGGTTACTAGTGGGAAAAACTGGCATGATTTGAGTAAGATCTGTAGATTACTTAGCAGTCGGGTATCAGTGTTAATTCCTGGTTTCAGTCATTGCACTCTGGTTAGGTAGCTGGGTGAAGGGCATTTACAAACCCTACTTTTTTTTTTCTGACTTCTATGTAGGTCTGAAATGATTTCCAAGTCAAAGGACTTGTTTTGCTCTTGAAAGGAAGGGGATGAAGAGGGGATGGTTTCTACTGTCTCCTTCATCTATCCCTGGTTTATGATCCTGTTGTGCAAACTGAAGAATGGCAGCAATTTAAATACAGTGCTTTTATTTCTCGCCTATTAGGTAAGGAATACATTTAGACAGCTGAAAAGAGAAGCAAGAGTCTGAACTGTCCATTTCATTCCATAGGGGGTATCCCAAAGAGCTGCCGTGTGTCCTGAATTACAGGGCCCAGGCCCCACGATCGTCACGTTCTGTGGAAACGTAGAGCTGTTGTAGTCTGCTGAGATTGCTCCTCTTGAGACTGTAAAATACTGGAATTGTGTAGAACAAAACAGAAAGGGTCAAGTCCTAGAAATTCATCCAAGGAGTTGTTGTTATTATTATGCGCCTTGCAGTCAGCTCTGCCCCATGGTGACTCTGTGGAGAACAGAATAATGAAATACTGCCTGGTCCTGCTCCATCCTCACACGTGTTCCGTTGGGGCCCGTGGTTAGAACCACTGTGCCAATCCATCTTGTCAAGGGTCTTCCTCATTTTTTGCTGATCATCATCCAAGCATGATGTCCTTTTTCAATAACTGATACTAAGAGCCTTCAGAGAAGGTCCCACGATTTGTCACGTGGGTCCTTGAAGAGGCTGTGTTAAGTCTTACATACAACAAGCAACCTAGAAGGCCTTTTATATTAAACACCAGATGTGAAGGAATTCACACCAACAGGGAATTCACAGTAAGGTTTTTATTGTTACTTCTGTCACTCGTTCACTGCCATCGAGTCGATTCTGACTCATTGCAATGCTGTAGGACAGGGTGGAACTGCCCCTGTGGGGTTCTGAAAATGTAATTCTCCAGGGAAGTCAAAAGCCGCCTCTTTCTCCCATGGAGCTGCGGGTGGCTTTAAATTGCTGGCCCTGCAGTGGACAGCCCAAAGTGTAACCACTACACCGCCAGGGCTCCCATCATGTGCTACAGAGTCTGTTTTCATCTCACAGGGACCCCATGTGACAAAGGGGAACTTGCCCTCACAGGTCTTCCTCCAGTGGAGCGGCTAGACAAGTGTGAACTACCGACCTTTCCCTTGGCAGTTGAGCGCTTCACCACTGCCCCCCGCCCCCCACGCTCTTCCACTGGGTTTGTCAGTGGGAGATTCGTGTGTTTGAGGGTAAAGGGCGATATAATCCTGACTTCTGGGAATGCTCATTTTCTGGACGATTGTACTGAATTTAGCATATCCTATTAAGACGCCAGTATGACTAAATGAATTGATGTTTTTCGTTTAGCATATTTTTGCTATCAAGAAAACCTGGGAAAGATAGCAACAATTAAGTCATGAAATTCTGATTTGCCTTCTAAGCTCCATAGTGAAGATGGTTTTGTCTGTGCCGCCCATTTTCAGATTTTTATTTTCCGGAGGGTTTTTGTCTTTTAAGTGAAATGCACATTTTAATCAAGACAATTGTGGAAATTAAATGGAAGTCTCAGGGACACAGTCTATCTGATGAGAAAATGTAAGAAATGGATTTCCACCGTGATAATTTTTAACCAACATCTCAGCCCTGAGGCGTTTGTCGGAGCAGTGTCTTCTCTGGAGGATTAGAAGCTGTGTATCTGGTTTCTGCAGTGTGAACATACAACATGTATGAAGTTTTCAAGTCCCCACAAAATTGACAATCCATTGTGGGCACTGTACTCTGAAACATGTGTACATTGTGGGCCTAAGGTGTTTTTTTGTCTTTCATCTTTTGTGGAGGGGATCAAGTATCGTGAGGAAAATAAGCCCTGGGCATTACCAACGTGGTCTGGTGAAATTCAATATTCACAATGACAATTCAGAATCTGAGCTCCTTGGAGAGAGAGCCAACCCACCACGCTAGCTTTGCATAAATATCTTAAAGTGTGCCATTGGTTTTATGAAAAGGTTTTGATCTACACTCCTACTTCAAGTTCAAAAGAAAACCTACATTTTAAAGTGTAGTCCTTTCCTGGGTCTATTTACTTTGAACTAAAGCATAGTGTTTTTCTCATAAATCGAACCTGCCACTATCTGTTTTTAAGACTTTGTAAACTTCAATTGGTTATGATGTGTGAAGTTTGGATTAAGCTAATATTTTTTTTAAGGAAACACATGTTATGTATTTTGCTTGTTTTGAATTTTAACCCAGGCCAATCAAAAACTCTAGGGCCTTGCAAAGTAATCTACTGTACTCTTACTGTAAGAACAAAATCACAGAAAGTTGCCCTGCCCCATCATGGTAACAATAGACAAATGAAGCAGCTGGTCTTATTCTTAATGTAGCTGTTTGAGAAACTTGCACAATTTAATGAAAATGTCTCCACTTGTAAACTTTAAAATGCTCACACATGGAAAAAGTCATAATGTTTTGGCAAATATTGCTTTGTTAGGAATGTGAATGAGGTATACCTGCTTCGTAACTAGGGTTGCATGTGTATACATACATGGCCTGGAACTGCAGTGGGCAGCCAACTGAAAAAGACGACTCTGGCAAAGGATGGATTAACACTCTTGAAAAACAAACAAAAGCGTACTTTCCCCAAGCCTGCCTGTTTAACGAGAAAGGGCTCTAATGTCTGACTCTCGTTTCTTTTTATTTGCTTCAGGCCTAAGTCTTGGGTCATCATTTGTACTCAGCGTGGACGATCTTCTCCTTAAAACAAGCCTCAGAGAACGAAGTCGGGTTCTGATAGGACCATGTTGTGCCACTGCCACTCTGGAAGCTCAGCGGTGTAAACACAGCGGCAATCCAGGCCCCGAACAATCCAGACCCAAGATATCGATTGACCTGGGAGGAGGGCTGCTGCAGGTGTGTGGGGAATGGCTAGCTCCTTGCCATCCCTTTTGAACTTGCCTTTTGTTCCTACTTCTGACTGTTTGACTAAATTATAAATCTTGGGGTTCTACAGATTACTCTCTTACTAAATGTTGTGCTAACAGCTTTCTATATTGAGAATAGAACCCAGATACTATACAATCCGTCCCTTTTCAAGGGCTTTATCGTTTATTCCCAGAGTTGTACAGCCATCATCACCATCATTTCAGAACCTTTCATCACCCAAACCCTCCCCTTCTCC